TACATTTATAGCTCATTATGAGACAAATCAAAAAATGGTGTGTCGGCACTAAGTAAAATGTCTCCATAGCTAGGTGTCAACATTGCAAGAACTCACTCAAAAACAAAAATATATATAGCGAACTATAACTGTAAAAAAAAAAATAATAATAATAATAATAACAACAACATCACGCGACATGGTAAACCATGATATTTACTGTCAAACGCGCTTGTCTAACAAAGTAAAAATATTTGTACCGACCTGTCACTCAAGCGCTCGGCTTATTTATGAACTGCGCCGAGCAGGTATTCATGCAGAATGATAATTGGTACGATTAGCTAGCTAGTTAAGCAATAAAAATACAACAACAACAACAACAAGAACAACAACACAACTTATAACATTACAATACAAATGATAATTTCTCAAAGCGCAATCAAAGCTTAATGGCAAGAACAAGTAAGCGAACATTGGCAGGCAATCAGCGCGTATGGCAGCGGCAAAGGTGTATTTGTATGACAATCTAAATATTCCCAGGCACACAACAATCAATGTTAAATCGTTAGACGCGTGGTAGATTTATATCCACTTACAAACTGGCAAACATACATATGTATGTATGTATGTACTTAAATAAATATATGGAGTTAAGCAGAAAGAAGCATATGCTGCATAAAGGCAAGGTATGTTTATATGTGGTTAGTTAAGCATGCGTCACATTGAATTTCCAATGCAAACTTCAGCATTGACTAACTTGACAGGCCTATGSTGCACCAAAGGCAGCTCCTGTCCTACGTGTGCGCGGCGCCGCGCTCCAGCATGCACGCACCGCCAACGGCTGCACCAGCGAAGAACGGCGCGCGCATAGTGCGATTCGCGTCGCTGGCATAAACATACATTAACTTGGAGAGCCATTSTACGTGTGTGTGTTTGTATATGTGTGCGTGCGTTGTAGTTGCTTGCATTTAATAAGCAGCGYAAACGAGCGCAGCGCTTGAGGAAGCTGCTTAAGTAAAAGYAAGTACAAGGAAATTACAAAGTRGKGGCGCAAGCAGCACAGGAGCGAAGCGCGGTAASAAGGAGGAAAAGAAGAAGCAACTACATTCGGTTGAGATACGTACGCGCAACGGACMGGCGGCGAAGCGCGGCTCCGCATTGGCTCGTTGTCGCATTTCGTTGACTTACAATTCGTTTGAACGCGCGAACGGAGCGACCGACGAAGCGACCAAATGACGGCGCGCCCGAACGCGCAATCGTCGGTACGTTCTTTCACTKTGCGCGCGCAGCAAMAACAACAATCGTGTTATACATTTAACATTCGAGTAAAATCTACGTTTACGCTTTTGTTTGTTTGCTCCGCAGAGACCAAATCATTTGTTAGAACGCGATTATTTGTGTTTGCGACACAATGTTTGGGCTTTATCGGAAAGCGACGATCAGCGCGCGGATGTGAGAGCTTGAATTTAGGTGCGCGCGGGCGCGCCGCCCAACCAAGCAACCGATCTCTCGCCGCATCGAACGCCATCGTAATCGCAATCAAACTACAGCAGCAGCAGCAACAAGAGAAACAACAGGAGAAATCACTGCAATAACAACAACAACAACATGCACATACAAACGGACAACTGTGTCTTCCTCCCGGAACAAACGAGCGCGCTGCTGGGCAGGCCATTGTCGGTGGTAATGCCGACGTGTGAAGCTCGTTGTTGCAACTAGCTGATGAYGTTGTTGTTGTTATTTTATGCAAGTGTGTTTGTTGTCGGCGTTGTGTTGCTGCCACTTTGGCACTGCTGTGCAAAACTACGCAGATTTACAAGTAGCAGGCAGGCAAGCAGTCTTCGGCAACCACCTTTGGCGGACAAACTGCGACAAGCCGCTGCRATCCTTCGTAAATTCAATTTAACACCTTTTGGCGGCATCCTTTTCGCTTACCGATTGGCCTATACAAATGCATTGTTATTTTGCGCGCAATTGCACTGCCACAAGCGGCTATCCGCGGCGGCGGCGGAAAGCGCGGAAGAGACACAGGCAGCGCTACGCTACTCTAGTGTTGTTGTTGTTATTGCCGCTTTTATTTGTATTTTAATTTTTACCACTGTTTTACATGTTCTATTTGTGGTCATCGCACGTGCGACAATTTTTCCACACATTTGATCCTGTCCGAGCGCAATCATGTGGGGCGGGGCGGCAAAATATGGGGGTTGGGAGGTGAAGTGTTTGGCGTTCAATGTGAGAAAAAAGTGCATTCACATGCTCGTATTTGTTTATGTAGAATTCATGTTTCGGCTGCCATTTATCGTGCTGTGGCAGCTGTGTGCCAAGCCACTGATGGCGGTGGCGGTGGCTCTGATGGTGGCAGCCACAGTGACACAACAGTGCAACCCCTTGGCATGCTACACAATCGACAGAATGGCATGCGCTATGCGCAWATGTGTAGCTTTGTGAAATTCTTGCAACGCTTTGCTGCGACTGCAGAAATAGACTTTTCGACATATGGGAATGTAGCTGAAATTTATATACCCTGAACAGGGTGTACCATTAAGATTGTCATGAACAAGTAGTAGGAAACGTCGGAGACCCAATATTCTGTAAATATAAATATAAGTGAGATGACTCAGTTGATTTAGCCATCTCCGCTTGTCTGTTCGTCCATACGCCTGTCWGTTCGTTCGAGTATGTGAACTAA